CTCCTTCCCTGTTACACCGGTGGTCCTATCTCTGAGGGCCGATGAGGTGCTGAGCTTTCCTCCTTTCCAGCATCCTTGTTTGGAGGTGAGCCCCTTCTTGTTTTGGCTCCCTCTTAGGCTCCTGCTCTCCAGCCTCACTTTTCTATCTTCCACCAGAACTCTCTCCGCTCCTCCTCCTCCTTTCCTCCTCTAGCTGAGTATGCGCAGTCACTCTTAAGGTCTGTCCTGGCCCCAAGCCAAGCCTCCTGTTTGGGATTGGCCAGGATCCCTTGAGAGTTCAAACCAGCCAGTCCTCACTCCCTCCCACTGCTTCTAGAACTTTCTCCAAAGCTCTAGTGCAGGTGAAAATCCTAGACAGCTGATCTAAAGAGCCTCTCAGCTCCTGACCAAAATATGACCCCTCTGACTATTACACCTGGGCTGCTACTCAATCCTTCAAACTGAAAATTAGAACTCTAGCTCCCCCTAGCTACCTAGGAGGGTGCTGTATAAATGTTGTGAGAGCCCCCTGGTTATATCTTAATGCAAAGGATTGATGTAGACGTCTGATTCCAAAAAACTGTTGTAACTGTTGTAATGGTTTGCTACGTACTTCTGCATGTTGGTTGAATTATGTAGATCATCACAGCAGGCTGTGTGATGGCTGTGAAGATGGGCCAATGTCTTACCACAGTCAATCTCAGTGAGGTATCTGCCTTATCTAAATACATTGTATAGCTGTTAATATATGTGTTGGGAGAAGGTTGAAGATGCTTTAGCTTTATATTATTGATTCTGTACAGCTTATTCATGTCATCACAGCTGATTGTTCCTTTTTGTTATGGTGACAATCAGGGGTAGAATGACCATTCAGGCACTCGGGCACTGCCCGAAGGCCCAGGGTCAGTAGGGGGTCCCATGTGATGCCCCTGGTACCTTTCATAGGCTTTTTTGGGTGTGGTTTGAGTGTGGGCGAGGACACAGGGACCCCATGATCCTCTATTGCCCCGGGGCCCCGTGAGTTGTCTGTCCGCCCCTGGTGACATTCATTAGTATGAGATGTATGTGAAAATGATTATCTTTGCAATGTGAGGTACCTTATAGAATCAAACAATTGCAAAGTATTAACGCATTCTTTGCAGCAGACTTCTGTGTGGTGTTTCCTAGTACAGACTAGTTAGCCTTAATACAGATTTGTTAGACTGGCTGACTATTGGGGTCTATTTTTTTTATAGGAGCAGATGCAAATGTGTATGATATTTTTGCAAAGCAAATGCTAGTGAATAAAGTGAAGCCATGCTCACTCTGAATACCATGTGCTAGAGAAAATCCTGGGATTGGGTATTCAAACTGAACACAGCTTCACCCTTTTCACTAACATTAAGTTTGCAAAAAGAACATACACTATGCAAAGTGAAAATTAACTTTGTTAGGTGTACATCCTCTACTCCTTTAGTAAATCAAGCTCAAGGTGCATTAGTTACCAACAGAACACCAGAGAGTACTGGTTCCAGTGTACTAGTTTTGATTGAATAAAGAACCGCACACAAGAACAGGCTATTATAATACAGTATATAACATTTCTCTCTTATATCATAACTCCAGCACAGTTAATCTTTGCTACACATCACCTCTCAAGTACTGCCAAAGCTTTTATTTATTTATTTATCTCCTACAATACAGTTAATCTCTCTTTTACATCAGCATGGATGGGGACAGGTGATGGGCATCTATACTCTAACTGTTCTGTATACATGAAAATAGAAAACCTCTTTATACACACAACTTGTCTATGATAATGTCATGGAAATCAGAAGCTCATTCCCCTGAAAGATGTTTATTTTATGTTTGCTTGAAGCATTACTGCACACCTTACAGTGAAAGTGTTTTTTTCAGTGTATTATACTACGTTTTTTGAACAATAAAAATGACAAATCTATCATTTCACAACATATATGTTGTTATGCAAATGATGCTGTAAATGTATTTATTATTATTTATTTATTACAGGTACTTATATAGCGCCATCAATTTACACATATATATATTGTACATTCACATCAGTTCCTAACCCTCAAGGAGTGTACAATCTAAATACCCTAACTCACATTCATACTTACATATACTAGGGCCAATTTAGACAGGATCCAATTAACCCACCAACATGTCTTGGGAGTGTAGGAGGAAACTGGAGTACCTGGAGGAAACCCACACAGGCACAGGGAGAACATGCAAATTCCAGGCAGGTGGTGCCGTGGTTGGGATTCGAACCAACGACCCTAGTACTGCCAGGCAGAAACATTTAGCCACTGTGCTTTCCATATAAAGAACGATGTAATGAAAAATTAGATAACTTACATGCCAATAAACTTTAACCCATGGCCTTTCTGCTTTCCATTTTCTCCTTTGCCCTTTTTAATGCTTTAAAATGTATGACAAACTTGGCATCCAACATTGTCTAAGAGAATACATCGCAATCAGTACAGTGTTTTACCCATGACTGGTATGGGTGTCCAGTAAACCTTCAGAGAGATTGCTTCAGTTATGCAGTTACCCACATGAAGGAATAGTGTGAACAGTGCAGGGGGGCTTTCCATTATCCAGAAGCTACAGGTAACCTAGAAAACCCCCTTAGGGTCTGGGTAAAGGGCTGTGGATTTGTGTTGATGTCATCAGTTATACATTAGTTTGAGATGATTCTGAGATCATCCAGAACTAGAAAAGCTACAATTTCTGGGGAAATTGTGTGAAGTGTTCTTGCCTCCACCAGTAGTCTACAACTGGAGTAGGTGGAGTAACTGGGTGGCGTGGCTTGTCACTCTGCTGCCTGCTCACACACCTGGGTTCCTATGGCAACTCACTCTACAGCAAGGGCAGAGAAGAGCGGTTAAAAACAAACTGCTCCAACTTGCTCACTTACTGGCGGTTGCCATTTCAAACAGTTGTAGTTTCAAAACTATAAATCCTACACTGAAGAGCTACATTTTAATGCATAGTATGTCTCTGAAATATTAAAAATGAAGGCACAGTCGCAATTTAGAAATTGCCCTTCTAATTTGAGGTGGCTAGAGTGGAGTTTCAATGAATGTCAATGGGCTGCGTGAGTTGCAAACAAATGGTCATATTGTGAAAACTATCAGAACTATGGCTTAGCCGTGGACATTTTTAGTGGCAGCAGGGATAGCTGAACGCTTTGATAGAAGATTTGTGTAGGTGGGCTTGAAAATGAGGGAGTGATGGCAGTTTAGAAATCATGTCCTGATTTTTCTGCTCACACTCTAGCTTCTGTCAGCTCCCACTCTAGTTTTGAACATTCCGCCATTCATTCCTATGGGACCAATTTCACCACAAAAACGGCGATATTTCGTGAACTATTCAGCGAAATGTTCCACAAAGTAATAGCACACCAATCGGGAACAATCCGCACGTTTTGGTATATTACTGTCTATGTAGTGTAAAAACTGTGGGAGGAGTTAGGGTGGTAAATTTGGCTATAATAATAAGAATATATATGTGAGATTACAGTAAGTGGTCTTGCCATGCAAGAACACTTAATTAACTGACAGATGTCCAGGGGCGGACTGACCATTTGGAAACTCGGGCACTGCCCGAGGGCCCGGGGTCAGTAGTGGGCCCCATGAGATGCCCCTGGTACTTTTTCATAGGCTTTTTTGAGTTTGGGCAAGGACACAGGGGCCCCATGATCCCCTATTGCCCGGGGGCCCCATGAGTTGTCAGTCCGCCCCTGCAGATGTCTATGACCTTCAGTTAACCTCCTACTGCTCATTGTGTGACCTGCTTTAAGTGGGTTTTGAATTCCATAAATTTGTATAAGAATGCAACACCCCTCTGAGGTTAGCATAAGCCTGTCAACACAGGCCCTAAAATGTGCTGTCCCATTTAATTAGTGAACTTTGAATATTTAAAGTGATTGTAAAGGTTGAAGGATTCTATGCATGACAGTAAAAAATCATACAGTGTGCACCTCCCCCCACTGTGCACAAGAGCCTTGTGCACAAGAGCCTCGGCTCTCCCGGGTCTCTCTCTCCTCATTGGCTGAGACACAGCAGCAGGCTCCTGCTTCTGTCAATCACAGCCAGTGAGGATGGAGCAGTGGTGGGGACGAGCTGCGCTCTCTATGTCTTATGGACATGTAGGGCCAGCTCAGGAGCGAGCGCACATGAGCACCCCCAGGGCAAGCAGCTCACTCTGGGGGCACTCGGCAGAGGGAAGGGGCCAGGAGCACCAGCAGGGGACCTGAGAAGAGGAGGATAGGGGCTGCTCAGTGCAAAACAATTACACAGAGCAGGTAGGTTTGACATGTTTGCTATTTTAATTTTTTTTAAATGAAGCTTTACAACAACTTTAAAGGATTATTTATTCTGTATGTCTATTTGGTATAATTCCCCTAAAGGCCCAATGAACTCAACTTTCTGTATTTGATATCAACTTGATTTTACAGAACACATCAAAATGTGGGGCCCAAGGCATGAGACCTGTTAATAAGAGCTCTATTATCCCTAGAAATTAACAGAGTATTCAGTGGAAAGAGCATAACTACTATTTCAGTGGTGATAGTAGGGTCACGGGGCTCTAAGGTCAGGCCAATAGCTGGTCATACTCAAGTTGCAGAAGTTGTTGAATGCATGTGTGATGATATAGGGAAATGCAAAAGCATGGCACACATGTACTGTAAATCTTCTGCAAGCACCATTTTGCCTGATCACAGGTCCACTGCTTTATCATCATTAATATTATAATCATTATTGTCATTGTATGCCAATATTAATAGAGTGGAAAGAACATACAATCTTACTAGATAGATTTGTGGTGGTAACAGTTATATTCAGCTGAACCACTGGTTGAGCAAAACATGGAATAGATTGTTGCTATTATTCCTTTTTGTGCACAACTGTGGTGTATTTAGCTTGACAAAAAATGTGGTGGTAATGACAAAGACAGGGTGATAGCTTGATGATTCCATTAATGTGCTTAACCTTGATCCATTTACCTGTTATACATTTATAATGCAATTTTAAAACTGCTTTATTTCTATATGATAATATTGTACATTCATTTTCCTATAGGATACCCGGAGCCAGAGGTTACGTGGTACAAAGATGATGAAGAAATGGATAGATATTGTGGTATGCCAAAATATGAAATATTCCGTAATGGAAAGCGGCATACCTTACAAATTTACAAGTGAGTCTTTAATGCAGTTTTATTGGCCTAAATGTTCCATTTATTGCTTAGGTCTAATCACAGCAAATCTATGTTTTAGGTGCAGTGAAGAAGATGCAGCAATTTATCAAGCATCAGCAAGAAATAACAAGGGTATTGTTTCCTGTTCAGGAGTACTGGAAGTTGGAACAATGACTGAATACAAAATCCACCAAAGATGGTTTGCAAAACTCAAGAGAAAAGCAGAAGCCAAAATGCGTGAGATTGAGCAGAGTAGGAGGAGGGTAAAGGAGAACTTTGAGGAGGGTGAAAGACTGAGGGCTTTGAGTCCTGAAAGGATTCAGAGAAAGCGAAGGTTCTCATCTGAAAAGAAAGATGATGCTTTAGCTTCATTAGAAGATAAAGAGGAATTAATTAAGGTTCATATTCCTGATCCAAACTCCAGGCTACAAGAAGAAATAACAGAGACAGTGGAGCAACCACAAACTGTAGTCAATGGCTTTGCTGAAATGGACTCTAAACCAAAAGAAGAGATAACCACCAATGGTTATGCTCTACCTGAAAATATTGAAGAAAATGGAAAAGGATTCCTTGCTTATGTCTACGAAACAGTAGAAGTTATAACAAAAAAACAAGCCTCAAAAGAGTCCTATGCAAAAAAGAAGAAAAAAGAAGAAGAACCCCCTTTACCCATACCAGACTCCAATAAAGAGGAAGCGATACAAGGAAGTCCAAAGAAAGTGGAAGGTATAAGTCCTGCTCCAAGAAGGTCTCGATTTGGTAAAGATGCTTCTAAAATCTCCAGTGGAAGAAAAAATGGAGGTGGAAATATCTCCTGTGACATCAAATAAAAGGTTTGCACCTTCCACTGCCCCTAATAAAACAGAAAAATCTGTAGTAGCAAAACATACCATGAAACTAAAAGATGGTGTTGTGCCCCATAGCAGAGCAGTAGAATCCTCCATTCCAAAACCAGCTAATTTGCAAACTCAGGGAGACATCAAGTTTTCCTTAAAAGAAATGTATTTTGATGACTTACCACAACATACAAAAGAAGAAAAGAGTCCATTAGCACTCTTAAGAGACAAGAAAACAAAGGGTGACATGCAAGCTTCTAGTGTAACTCATGCAAAACTAACAACTGAAGGACAAATCAAAGAAACACCAAAAGTTGCCCCAAGACGGTCAAAAGAACAAAGAGAATTGTCTGTTGGACGAAAAACTTCACCAATAACAAGTAAAAAGTCTGAAGCTCCTGTACATGGACAAGTCTCAAACTTAAGCCAGACATTGCTAGAAGTTAGGCCAAAATCTGAACCGACAAAGCTAGCTGTTGTAGAAAGAAACACTAATTCTTCTGTCTCAGTCCCAGTAGGTCTTATCACTGAGCAAAAAGTAAAAGCAGTAAAATCAACAGAAAAGGTTCTCTCAGTAAAGGTACCTGACAAGGTATCCTCTTATGTAACATCAGCACCACAAAAGGAGCAACCATTAGAGGACAACAAGATACCCTCAGTTGATCCCAAAGAAGTAAGTTTATTTTCTTGTTCACTTGTTTCATACAAATTTTTGTTTCCATCTTCACTAAGATGCTTTGGAATGTACCTATGTATAGCCAATATCCTCATATGTTTGGAAAGAGAATTGCAGCTGATGCAATTACTATGTTTCCGACAACAATGTTCAAAGCTTCTTGTTCCTCTTTTGTGTAAAAAACCTTATGGCTCAGCTGTCACATAAAATCTGGAAGTATTCACATCACATGGTACGCTGATGTAACTGTGATATAAGACTGATTGCTTTTCACATGCAACTGTTTGCCAATATTACATAGCTTTTATGATTAATTGTGATGTTGTACAAGTTAAATAATAAGTAACTAAGGAAAGTGGTGAAGACAGACATTTCAAATTCTGCCTTTTCGAGCAGTGGGTTTTATGATCACATTATTCATTTGCTGGTGCAACAATTTGTTTTCTTCTTAAAGCAACTCTGTTCCAGTGTAAAAAAAAAATCACCTCTACCTTATAATAACAAGACTTTTAAACTTACCTTAATGGCAGGCAGTGTGTTAATCTTTGCTCTCTTGAAGTGCTACAAGCACTGCTGTTTTCCAACACTTCTGGGTTTGTCACCGGCCTGAACCCTTTCTAAGCGTTGTGGTGAGGGGCATATTTACCACAAAGCGAACAAGGCACTTGCCCAGGGCGACATTCTTCAAGGGGGCAGCATCTCCCCTCAGAATAAGGGATGAAAGAAGGGACATGCGCACCATGGGAACCAGGTCGGGTCTAAGAGAGGCTGCTTGATCATGTATGTAGAGCCTGACTCTACTTCCCAGGGATGTCCGGAGCTGTGAAGATGAGTGTCTCTCTATTGCCGGGGGGGGGGGGGGGTAGTGGAAGGCTCTCCGGGGGGGTGGGGGGCAGCGGTGTTGTTGGAAGGGAGAAGGGGAGGGTTGTGTTGGTCAGTGTCCGTGGGGGCAGATGATTTTTGTGTTGCCTAGGGCAGCACAAAATCTAAATACACCACTGGTTGAGGTCCTTTCCACCATCCACAATGGCATTACAAAACACAGTAGTGACATTGAGGCTGACAGAAAGAACCACAGTGCTCTGCAGAGGATCATTTGGACAGGACACATTTTCATGAAATGAGTGAATCCTATGTCTAGTATGCATTTGGCACATTTTGTCTCCAATAACAGTATTTATTGGGTAATGCACTATGTTTTTGCTCCCTCTTGTTTTTCTTTTGTTGTTTGTTAGTTAGACTGCCCGGTCTAAAGAGGGCTACACTGGTATAGCACGTTTGTTTATGTCAAGAACTTGATGATAACCCTGCATTGACACTACTCTCGGCCCCAACACCTCCTTAGCACTTTTTGGTGGCATAATTGCCCTTTCATCTTTTTGTTTGAAGATCTGTATAGCCCAGGGGTGGGCAACTGTGGCCTTCCAGCTGTTGTAGAATTACAAGTCCCATGAGGCTTTGCAAAACTTACAGTTACAAGCATGACTCCCAAAGGCAGAGGCATGATGGGACTTGTAGTTCACAAACAGCTGGAGGGCCACAGTTGCCCACCCCTGGTATAGCCCATAGGTCAAATACAGCCTTCCCCTTTCAAGGGGTCATAAACTTCCCCTTAAGAAATAATAGACATTGGCAACACCGCTCTCCCTGGTGCTGTCACAGTCATCACGCTGTTTCAAGAAGTGAGGCGAACACTAGGGAGAGCGTTGCTGCCAATGTACTATTTTTTCATAAGGCGAAATACAGAGCCTTTGTGCCACTGTGCACCAGATCAGTGCACTTTGAAATGTGAGTTTTAACTTGTTTTAATAAAGTGATTGGTTATTCACAGAAAGCACTATGATGGCATTTTATTTATTTTGAGCAAAATATCTGGTGGTTTGGAAGAAGGTGGAATTGAGAGCCATTTACTTCAAAGGAGAGGTAGGCAATATATCCTTCCTGAGGGTATATCAGAGGTGGTTGAAGACAATTGAAAATACAGCTGAAAATTGGAAAATCTGGCACTGACATGTCTGATGATAAAATAGTTCAAGGTTTATTCTGTATCCATCAAGACATAAAAGTATCCATCAGATAAAATAATTTACGCATAATGATGTCACATGTCCCAGAAGACTACAGGGAGGGAGGGGGAAGGACAACTTCCGCTTCCCACTGTCTAGGTGATTGCAGCAGAAGTGGGAGTGGGTACCTGTCAAATTCGGGTACCCGCTCCCCAAAGGTGCCAATCCTTAATGGGGAACGGGGGACAAAGGCTTAAAGCGGAATTCCCCTTTTGGGTGGAGTTCCTCTTTAAGCACCACTATCCTAAAGAAAAATACATTCTGAGATCTGTATGCAGTTAGTACATACACCTTTTTTTATTTCATATGTTTTTTTTTCAGATATTTCATATTTTACTAATATTAAATGCTGTCAAGTAATGGTTGCTCCTGGCCACCATATAGTGTTTCTTAAAAATTATGTGTCTTAATTCTTCGCAACAGAGTGCATCCATCAACCTTTTTACTGGTTGTCTTTTTCTCATATAACTTTTCCAAGCATGACTGTCTTTTATAGTGAATTTGTTCTTCTCCTATTATGTGCAAAAAAAAAAAGAAAAGAAAATGTAGGTTTAGTTATCTGGGTTTCTAGTGTAAGGTTGGGTTGATTTATTGAAGCATCCATTTGTTTGTCGTCCTTGTTGTCCATGATATTCTAATATTCTAATATTCAGAGAATGTGGTGCTACAGAAAGCAGTCAGAGACTGCAGACAACATGCAGTAGGAGATGGTCAATCACTATGGGGCATGGTACAAGATATAATACAAAATATATGCCGTGCTACTAAAGTGATCAATAAATAAAGGACAAATATATAGAAAGGAAACAATCTAGCATATAATAAAAGTCCATACAAAATAATATCTCCGACAATCGTGTTGTAATCTTCCAAATAATAGTGCTCTTTACTTAGGAAAACATCCATAGGATCCTTTCGTCACAGCACACATTAGTGCTGTGCAATAAGTGTGACTCTCAGAAATAGAGAAGTCAAAGCACACTTAAATGATGATTGTATATTCAAAAGCCTCCCTCTCGTGGGCATTCAATGTTGCTCTGCTTCACATATACTTAATAATGCTCAGAAAAGATAGAAAGGAAAGAGCAAGGATGCTAACATAGTGTGAATCCGTAGGCAAGTTTTATTTAAAAATTGTTAAAAGCACTCACATTCTTGTAGAAATGATCCAGCATAGTATGAAACAATCCCGGGATTGTGATAGCGGCCGCACATGCGTGGTGACATCATGATTTTCCATTTTGCCCTAAGTACGTTTCGTCATAAATTACGTCATCAGGGGCACAGGAATATCTCTTGACACCAGCGCCTTAAGTAGACACACTAATTACACCAGATCATGGCACACAGGTGATTTATCACATAATCCATTATTAGTAATATAATCATTACAACAAACGCAATCTAGAGGAAAAAATACTAAATAACAATAAAAACATCACGATGGGCACCATCCTGTGTGAAACGTAGCGAAGCCCCCACAGGACATGCACCATCATCTGGTGAATAAATATATGGCCACAATCACAAATATCTACTAGCGCCACCTAGAGAAAAAAAAAATATAATGACATTAGAAATATCACAATGGGCGCCATCCTGTGGAAGATGCCATCGTATCTATGGGATTCCAAACAGACTAACAATATACTGAAACAAGTCCAACGCGGGGAGGGTCTTCTGCTGGGAACAGCGGATGTCTCTTTGTATACCTATATTCCCCATGTTTAAGGTTTTGAAGCAGTGGAATACTTCCTTAATCAGGATGTCTCTTCCATAGATACAAAAAGACATACATTATGGACCTGTTAACATTTGCTACCACTCATAACTATTTTTGGTTTGCAGGTAGGTATTATCTACAAAATAGGGGCATAGCAATGGGGGGCTAAGTTTGCCCCCAGCCTGGTCAATTTGTTTATGGCTAGGTGGGAGGAGGATGTTGTTTATGTCACTTCCAGACCTTTGTGTTCTTTTTGGTTAGCAGTGGTTTTCACCTTGAAACTCTCCTTTGGATGCCATTTTTGTCCTGTCTATTTCTTATTGTTGGATCATGAATGCTGAGCTTAACTGAGGCAAGTGAGGCCTGCAGTTCTTTAGATATTGTTCTGGGTTCTTTTATGACCTCCTGAATGAGTCGTTGTTGCAGATATGGAGTAATTTAGGATTGGCTGGCCACTCCTGGGAAAGTTCACTACTGTTCCAAGTTTTCTCCGTTTGTGAATAATGGCTCTCACCGTCATTCACCGGAGTCCCAAAGTCTTAGAGCTAGCTTTGTAACCCTTTCCAGACTAATACATGTCAATTACTTTGATTCTCATCTGTTCTTGAATGCTATTAGATTATGGCATGACATGTTGCTTTTTGAGATCTTTTAGCGTGCTTCACTTTCTCAGACAGCTTCTATTTAAGTGATTTCTTGATTCAAAAGGTCTAGCAAAAATCAGGTCTGGGTGTGGCAAGTAAAATTTAACTTGGCTTTCCGAAAAATGTGGCTAATCACAGTTTATACATGATTTAGTAAGGGGGGGGGGGCAATTAGTTTTTCACATAGACAGGTTTGGACAGCTTTTTTTTTCTTAATAAAGGCAAATCATTTAAAAGCTGCATTTTGTATTTACTGGGCTTATCTTTGTGTCATATTAAAATTTGTTGCATGATCTAAATAATTGAAATGTAACAAATATACAAAAAACCTTCAGCTGCCAATTTATACTCCAGGGTATTGGAAACATCTTAATATACTATGTTGAACGTAGGAGTAATGGTAGTATGAGTAACAGTAGTGGTAGCCATACATTAATAAAAAATTCCTTGCATGTAAATGTAACTGGCTCTTCAAGCATTGAAAGCATTATGACAAGTAGTTTTTCTGTGAAAAGTGAAGTTCTTCTAACAATACAAAGTGAAAATGATGTAGATATTTCAATA